ATCTAGCAACAATGTGAAAGATGAATTAGAAAAGAAAATCTTGTTGGGGGAAAATGTGAGATTGAACTAGGTCAGCAGCAGTAGTGATGGAAACCAAGGGGAAGATTTAGAAAGGCATTTTAGATGTAGATCAATAGACAATGCAAAGTGCGGAGTTAAGGATGACTCCAAGAGTTCTAGGTCATAGGATTGGGTAGCTAGTGATGCCATTAATCATAATATGGAGGAACCTAAGTTTTATTGAAAGGAAACTTCGGATTTTAAAGGGAAAGCAGGATAGTGGAGTGGAGATAGTGAGTTTGTAGTTGGTCATGCTTTGTTCATTACATGTTGGACATATGCTTCTTAACCTTGGTACTATTGGCATTTGGGACTGGATAATTCTTTGTTGTGGGGGACTGCCTTTTGCATTGTAGAATGTTAGGCAATATCTCCAGCCTCTACCACTAGAGGCAAGTAACAGCCCTCTCAGGAATATATATCCACTAAAATGTCTCCCAACTGTTCCAAGTATACACTGAGGTAGGGACAAAATCACCTTCATTTGGGAACCACTGATACAGAGATAAAAAGGAGAGTAGTGCAATCCTAATATATAAAAACCCTGAGTCCCTCACAACCAGAGGCTCAACCAACTGGAAATCAGTCCTGCAGTCAGTGCTGGGTTGTTGTGGCGACCCAGCACTGACTGCTGAGAGGGCTGCGAATCAGGTCCAAAAAGAGGCCTGAAAAGAGAAACAGGGTCTGATTTGTAGCCTGTGTGGCAGCTATTGATCAGCACTTGCCTCTCTCTTTCTCTCCCAGCGGGGCCAGCAGCCACTCCTCCATTTCTCTCCAGGCCTCCACCCTTGCTGCTGATCAGCCCCGCCTTTCTGATCAGGCCCCGTAGATAGGGCCAGAGACTCTGACTGGCATAGAAACTGACCAATCAGAACCAAATCTGGGTAAAGTGTGAGGAGCCAATGGCTGCCTAGGAGGCAGAGCTTTTGATGTTGACTGGCATAGAAACCAACCAATCAGAACCAAATCTGGGTCAACTGTGAGGAGCTAATGGCTGCCTAGGAGGCAGAGCTTTTGACATTGACTGGCATAGAAACCAACCAATCAGAACCAAATTGGCCAGCAGAGGAGGGTAGTTGGGGGCGAGATCAGGCCTATAGGGGAGGGCAGTTGGGGTGAGATCAGGCCAGCAGGGGAGGGCAGTTGGGAGTGATCAGGCAGGCAGAGGAAATTGGGGGTGAGATCAGGCTGGCAGGGGAGAGCAGTTAGGGGCAATCAGGCAGGCAGGCAGGTGAGTGGTTAGGAGCCAGCAGTCCCAGATTGCAAGAGGGATGTCCAACTGCTGATCCCACAGGGATTGGGCCTAAACCGGCAGTCAGACATCCCCAAGGGGTCCCCGATTGGAGAGGGTGCAGGCTTGACTGAGGGAACCCCTCCCTCTGTGCATGAATTTTGTGCACCTGGCCATTAGTTATGTGATAAGAATTTCAGATTCAGATGAGACATGAAATCAGTATTTATCAATATTGGCAATTTAAACAATGTGATTAGGTAAAATTGTGCATGGGAAAAATTTAGATGATTATAAAGTTGACCCTTGAACAACATGGGTTTGAACTACACTGGTGCACTTACACATGGATTTCTTTTCAATTAATACCTCCACTGTTTTCTATCTGCATTCGTGAGTCTATAGATGAGGAGGGCTGACTCTGTGCACTGACCTATATGCCATTTCATAGGGGGAACTTGAGTATCCATGGATTTTGGCATCCATGGGGGGCGGGTGTTCTGGAACAAATATTCCACAGATGCCCAGGGACAACTAAGTTTTGGGGAGTCAAACTTATACACAGATTTTTGACTATATGGGGATCAGCATCCCTAACCCCCGTGTTTTTCAAGGGTCAACTGTACAGTAATTTTTGCTTGAAAGCTCCAGAGACTGAAAAATTTCTAAGCTCATGAGGTAAATTGAGGCAGCTCATTTTATTTTTGGATACTTTTGAATGTTTTATTATTATTGTTCTATGTTGTTACATTTTAGTCAAATTTCTTGTATTGAGTCAAAATTAATCTTTCCGTAATTCTTTGCTTTGGTTCTGTGGTATTGTGATTTAAAAGGAATATATGTATCTGGTCATTCACACTATGAAAATATATTTCTCATGTATATTTGGTCTTCATCCATAGTTCCTGGCTCACAGTTCTCAACACATTAGAATTTTCTGAGCTGTAAGAGCAATGGGAGCATCTTTTATATAATACTAATGCCCCAGTGCACGGATTTGTGCACTTTGAAAGGAAATTAATTAGAAGGTGGCCGGTGGGGTGGGACTGGGCGAGATGGGACAAACAAGCCCTGGATCCAACCTCCTGCAGTCCCTCCCCAGCCGGCTGCACCTGGGGCAGAGCATCATCTGGAAGGGTGTCTGCGAAGTGAGCGGCGTCCCTCTGGCAGGTGGGGTCCCTTGGCCTGGCCTGTGGGAATCAGGCCAAAACTGGCTCTCTGACATCCCCCAAGGGGTCCTGGATTGCAAGAGGGCAGTTCTGACCCAAGAACCGCCACTACTGAGTCACTGCAGCTCAGCAGCTCCTGCCTTGAGTGTCTGCCCCCTGGTGGTCAGTGCACATCATACCTACCGGCCAGTCAAACAGTCGGGGAGTCTCTTACCCTTTTTTATATATAGATTTGGTTTCTTGTCCTCAGTTTCTGAAAGTGCTTCAGAGCCTCAAGGTGAAATGGATGTCTTATTCAGCACAGGCCTTTACCACCAAACTGAGTTTATGTTAATGAAAGTAACTTTTGGAAAGTGCCTAAGGATACGGGCTGGTTGCTAGGGGGACCAACCATGAATAGAGAGTTGGAACTTTCAGTTCCACCCCCTGATTTTCAGAGAAGAGGAGAGAGGCTAGAGGTTGAATCACTCACTAATGAGTTAATCAGCCATGCCTATGTAATGAAACCTCCACAAAGAAACAAAAGGAGAGAGTTTGCAGAGCTCCCATTGGGGAACCAGAATGCTTCCACTTGCCATGGTGCTGGGCTCCAAGCTCCATGAGGAAGAGAAGCCCCTTTGTTTGGGTCCTCAAACTGTGTATCTCTTTATCTTGCTATTGATTTATAGCCTTTAACAGCCTTTGTATTAAATTGGTAATTTGTGTGTAAACAAATTGTTTTTTTGAGTTCTGTGAGTTGTTCTAGGACATTAATCAAACTTAAGATGGAGGTTTTAGGGACTTCTGATTTATAGTTAGTCTGTCAGAAGTTCAGGGAGCGATATGGACTTGTAATTGGATCCTGAGTTGTAGGGGATCATTGGAAACTCAATGGTAGGGTCAAAAGCACAGGGCTTGTGATTGGCATATGAAGTGAATGATGGTCTTGTGGGACTTAAGCCCTTAACCTGATGCTCTCTCTGGATAGGTAGTGTCAGAAGTGAGTTCAATTGTAGGACACCCAGATGGTATCCCAAGAATTGCTTATTTGTGTAGGAACTTCCCCTCCCCCACATTGGAATTGGTACCAGAACCTATTTAGGTACTAATTTTGCTTTCATAGAACAGAAAATAAGTCTAATAGTATAAGTCAAATTATTTTTCCTAAATCCTTCCACATATTTTAATACAGCTATTGAGTTAATTTCTAAAATTTACTATCATTGTCTCCTGGATAAATATCCTTAATATTTTTAACTTTCCTTTATATATTATATATAGAGACTTTTGCAACATGAGCACTCTCTGTTAGATGGCGACCATTTGAAATATTCATGTTTGACTTGTTCAGTTTAGAGAAAAACAAACCTGCAGGTTCCTGAGTTTTTATTAAAGCACTCAAAATGGCTTTTCTTTCAGCCACATTGCACCATTATCTTTTTGTTATTTTTATTTTGCATGAACTTGCTGTTTAATCACATTCCATATCATCTACTAGAGATGCTTTTTTGTTTGTAACTCAAGCATAGAAATTTATTTTCATCCTTTTAAATGTGCATTCTTCTTTTATTTAGCCCATGATTTCAACCTGCCTGATCCTTTTGGATTATGATTTAATCATCCAACATGTTTATTATTTCTCCCAGTTTCATGCCATCTACACAGTTGATCAGACACATTCATCCAAGTCATTAATAAAAAATGAGTAGGTTAAGTGCAGAGTTAATGGGATTACATAGTGCTATGGATTTTCTTATCAGTGCTCTTCCAGCTATATTTTACTTAAAAGGGCTTTTTACTTTCATGAAGTACTATAGACATGAGAACCATATGAATAAACATTATGTTCAACCTCTCCCAAACAAAACTTTCCAATGTAATCCTCATATGGCAAATGGTAAGGTAAATTATGTTCTGGTATATCGTTACATGGACAAATTATTTTATTAAGTGATAAAAGCAGGGTATACATTTGAATACAAAAGATGGCATCACTATATATATAGATAAAACAGATGTAAATATAGACCTACCTTTAGATATATCTATAGAGAACACTAGAATCTTAATGATAGTTGCCTCTAAAGAGATAATTATAATTGATGCTTTTATTACTATTTTCTAGTCTTAAATATTACATAATGAATTCATCACCTTTATATGAAAAATAAATATTAAAATATACTTCTGTATTATATAAGTTTGAATAAACAAAATTAAAAAAAGAATCTGAGGAAATGCTTGTGTCCCTGGTAACCAAAAGGCCTGACCTTTAATGATAGGAGAAATCTTTCTAAGGAAGCCACAGGATTTTAATATTTCCTAAGGAGGGAAGCTGGAATTGTACCAGATTTTCCATCATCAGCACTCTGCCCCTGCTTACAGATATCTTAAGAGAAGACATATGTGGTTAGATAGGCCAGAACAAGCTGTCAGTCAGATGTGGGAATATACCTGCCTACCTATTTTAACAAGATTGCTATAAAGATCAAATGAGATGATAAATGTGAAAATGTGTACATACTAGTTATTCCTTTTCTAGGGTAAACTGTTGATGAAAGGAGTTTAAATTGTAGTTAGTTTAATTTGAGTAAGCATTGTGTTTTATAAATATTCTAGAGGCCCAGTGCATCACATCTGTGCATTCGGGGGCGGGGGGTTTCTCAGGCCGGCCTGTGCCCTTTAGCAGTCTGAGAGCCCTCGAGGGATGTTGTCCCATTGATGCTTAAGTCACAGTAGGACATCCTTAGCACTGCCATGGAGGCAGGAGAGGCTCCCGCCACCGCTGCTGCACTCGCTAGCCCTGAGCTGGCTTGTAGCTGAGTGGCGCTCCACCTATGGGAGTGCACTGACCACCAGGGGCAGCTTCTGTATTGAGCATCTGCTCCCTGGTGGTCAGTGCACATCATAGTGACTGGTTGTTCTGACGTTTGGTCAATTTGCATATTAGCCTTTTATTTTATAGGATAGTAGGACTGCTTGACCACTCTGCAGGATAAGCTGCATGTCATATTAATAAACGTATCTCCCAACACTTCACACATTACCTTATACCCATGAGTAAATATCTTATGAATGGATAGTAAATGAATCTCATTGCTGTCAATATTTGCAAAATAGTAATAGTAATAGTATCTTATCTTTTTATTGAGATAAGACTAGAGGCCTGATGCACGAAATTCATGCACGGAGGGGGTGAATTCCCTCAGCCCTGTCTGCAGCTTCTCCAATCTGGGATCCCTCTCGCAATCCGGGACCACTGGCTCCTAACTGCTCACCTGCCTGACTGCCTGATGCCCCTAACTGCTCCCCTGCTGGCCTGTTCACCCCTAATTGCTCTCCCCTGCTGGCCTGATCCCCCTAACTGCCACCTTCTCCCTTCTCCCATGGTGCTGGCCTTCTCCCTTCTGCCTCCTCCTTTCTGCCTTCTCCCTTCTGCCTTCTCCTTTCTGCCTTCTCCCATGGTGCTGGCCTTCTCACTTTCTCCCTTCTGCCTTCTCCCGTGGCCTCTGTAAAAGGGATCTCAGTGATGGACCGGCCCTAACAGCTGCCGCAGCTGCTGACCCTTGGCCCTTGTAGCCGCTGTGGCTTTGCCTGGAAGGATGTCAGGAAGACGTCTGGTCTAATTAGCATATTACCCTTTTATTAGTATAGATAAATGGAATAATACATAGTATTATTATAAATTTTCAAGTACTAACACTGCTGTTCTGTATCTTGGTGAAGCAAATGATCTGGTGATATTATTGCTGAGTGATAAGCAGCATTTGATTTTCTCCTCTTTCTGCTTCCTAATTTTAGGCACTTACTGAGATTTTATACTTAATTCTGTTCTCTCTTTATTTTATTTTATCGATTCATGTGGTCTAAAGTATCTTCTCTGTGCTGATCACTTTTAAATTAGTCTTGACTTTTTCAGTCCTAGATTTCTTGACTCTTTGCTAACCATCTCTTCTGGCTATCTTCAGCACTCAAGTTCAGCATTTATAAAGCCTAACCAGATCTACAGCCCTGTACTGAGCACCCACAATGCAAATACACAAATAAAACACCCACTCTTTTAGGTGTGTTTTTTTGTTGTTGTTGTTCTGCCTGGCCTTCTTTCTCTATCCTTTATCCCCGTCATAACAACAGTTTTTAACTCTTAATGTTTTAATCTCTGATGATATACTGAGAATGTGTTTTTTTATTTTTTTGTTTCCTTATTTAGTTCTAAAACCAAGTTCAGGCCTTCATGATCAATAATTTGACCATCACAATACTCTCTGGTAGTTGTCAAATCAGAATAACTCATTTTATTTCTTCTTAGTTTAAAACCTTTAATGACTACCCCTTTACCTATGAATTTCAATTATATAATTAATGTCCCATTAATATCATTTGAGAGAAATAGAATCAGGGGAAATAACTTAATTCTTCAAGATATTCTAAGCTTTAACCTTGTAGTGTGTCTCATATCATAGCTCTGGGGTTCTACCCAAAATTGATGTTTGACTTTCTTTTCCATATAATACACCTTGAGAATTGTAATCAGTGAAATAATGAAGCAGGTGTTCAGATGAGAGGAGTTGGACAGGGCTTTCAAATTCTTGGGCACAGAATGGAAGATCCATACCCACCAATGTAGAAAGGAAAGGTAACTTGGCATTAACATTCAAGTAATATCGGCTTCTCTTTTTAATGGTGTCAGATGGCTGTGCACCTTGGCTTTTTCCCTGTGGTCCTGTTCAGGATGGTAATAAGGAAGTCCACTCGAGTCTGCCTCACATATATTTTACCTTCTTTCTACCCTTGCTTGACTGTTATTTAAAAGAAGCATGGTATAAGGTAAGATGATGTTAGAAATATTTAATGGAATCAGTCTTTAAGAGAGTCTAGAAAGAGAAGTGTAGCAAGATACTTCTATTCAGAGAAAGCAGTATTGGATAGCTCCGTAGCCAGGAATGGTGAGTCAGGGGCAGGTTGATTATCGAAGAAGACTTAACTAGTATAAATGAGATGAGAAAACTTAATGCCAAGTTGTAAAGAAGGTTATGAAGCAGCAGGTTAGCAGGTTTTGCAGTTGATTCAAAGCTATTAACTTCATGTCACTTGCCACAAATCATATTTAAAGGAGAAAAAGTAGCTTCTTAATTTAAAAGGTTTTTTTATTATTGACTCCAAAGAAAATGTTAACAAAAGAGACAAAAGACATTTTGCTTTTGTTTTGTGTTTGTTTTGTTTTGTAAGGAAGCCTGCAGACCTTCAAATAGAATTCAGAGATTAATATTTGAATCCAAATTACTATCTTTAAAATCCAAGTGCTAACACTATTAAATCATTTACCTATGCATTTCTAATTATTTTAAAGAAAAAGTAGGGTGAATTACACATTAAATGTAAAAGTATATTTTCTTCTCAAAAAAATAGTAAATGGAAAATTACCAAAAACATTTTCTTTATAATTTGGGAAACGAGAGAGATAGTGCTAATTATAGTTGCAAATGAAAAGTTGTTTTATAATGTTTACCCAGTGCAGATATTAGTGTGGAAGATGATTTTAAGTATTCCATTTTGAAGTTGTCTTTGGGACTTTTCTAGACTTTTACTACAATTAGTAGAAAAATAAGATTCTAGGAATCAGAGATTTTGGTCTATGACATTCTAGCCATCCAGTGCCCTGGTCTCAATTTTCTCGAGTTGTGCAACCAGTATCTGAGATATAGCATTAGAGTTTTAAAATAATTACTCTTTCTTACACTACCCCATAGATCCTTTATATTACTTTCCCACTCTTCAAGAACTAATCCCCATCAAGATGTGAGCTGAGAATGGTTTAGCTGTAAACCCTTCAAGGTGTAATTTGCATATTTAAAACAAAACGAAACAACTATGTAGATTTAAAGTCACTCAAACTAATAGTCTCATTCTCCCTGAGACCATTTCTTTGGAGGAATCAATCTGTGGTTTGAAACAAACAAAACACTCCAGTCAGAGTACATAAGAGTTTTTGTAACCTTGACATGAAGTTGGCACCCAAGGGATAATCTCTGTTCTGTGTGGGGATAAGGGTTGGAGGGAAGCCTCAGTGATTTAGTTGTCTTTGTTATCCCAAAGACCATTGTGAAAGTCAACAAATTGAAATTAACCCAAAGCAGAGGTCATGTATTTTTCATTATATTTTATTTTGATATCTCTGAAGTGTTGAGAGAAAAAATGCCAGAAGAGGATCAGACTTTTAGAGTGGAGACTATTAACTATCTCCTTCATGGACAAGTGTCAGATGAATGGGGTGAGCCACAGAGCAGGGATAAGTAGGATAAAAAACAGATAGTTCTTTTTCGATCCATGTGTTATTTAGAAGTATGTTGTTTAATCTTCACATGTTTTGGGATTTCCCAGGTGTCTTTATATTATTAATTTTTAGTTTATCTCCATCGTGGTTTGAGACCCTCTGTGGTATGTTTTCTCTTCTTTTAAATTTGATGAGGCTCTCTTTCTTTTAAGGTTGGCCATGAGTAGGCAGGCACTAAACCAGGAGTTTTATAATTTACTAGAGGCCCAGTGCACAAAAATTTGTGCACTCGGGGGTCCCTCAGCCCGGCCTGTGCCCTATCGCAGTCTGGGACCCCTTGGGGGATGTCCACCTGCTGGCTTAGGCCCACTTCCGGGGGGGATCGGGCCTAAGCTGGCAGTCAGACACTCCTCTGGCAGCCCGGAATGCCCACTTGCCAGCAGGGAGCAGGCCTAAGCTGCAGTCAGACATCCTTAGCGCTGCTAAGGAGGTGGGAGAGGCTCCCACCACCACCGCTGTGCTGGCAGCTGGCAGCCTGGCTTGTGGCTGAGCAGAGCTCCCCCTGTGGGTGTGCACTGGCTACCAGGGGGCAGCTCCTGCATTGAGCATCTGCCCGCTGGTGATCAGTGTGTGTCATAGTGACCAGTCATTCTTAGTCATTCTGCTGTTAGGATCAATTTGCATATTACCCTTTTATTATATAGGATATGATTATATGAAGATATTTTAAACATTATAATCTAACTGTATATAAAGGCATACTCCCACTTGGCTCCAATGAGTGATAGTTGTATTTCCATTGGTAAGTGCTTTTTATTTTCTCATGTAAAGTATTTCTCTCAAATTCCTATAATCAATGAACACCATTCTTCTTTATTCCCTGAGTTTACTGTACTTAAAGAAAGTAAATTAAATGTAAAAATATTCTACAATATGATCCCACATTCTTTTTTTCTGCATGGTATTTCAGCAAAATATGTTATAGAAATGCTTTCTGAGTAATATTGAATGAATATAAAATATAAGTTTCAGACCATTTCATTAGTTTTTTAATCCTCTATAATTTTTTTATGTTTTAACTTGTTTTTTAAATGAATTATTTTGTAAAGTCACTACTCCTTTAAGTGATATCATGGGGCTTTCAAGTACCCTATGTTTACTGGACATTGCAGATTAAATAGCTTACACTGTCGTTCCTCAAAGTATGGTCCCTGTACCAGCAGATGAGCATCACCGGAACTTTTGTTTGAAATTGAAGTTCGCAGGCTCGTTCCCCAGAGGCACCATAT